ACTTCCTGCAAGACATCCCTGAGGAGAAGCCACATGGACCTACCCCGATGCAGCCCTGGGTGCTGGAGTAGCTGTGTGGAGACCCCACCAGCGCTGAGATGCTTACACACTCACTGATTTGTCTTTCCTCCAGCAGTCAGTGTCATTGCATGTAATTAGTGTGATTGAGGAGGACTTTGTAGATCGGTGTCGGACATATAGGCTAATGTTGGACTTATGGGCTTGGACAGCACTGGGTTGGGATGCTTTCTGAATGTACACTTACCCTTTATATAAAACGCTCTCTAATAGACATATGAGTTTCTGAGGATTTGTTTCTCTAGTCTACCCAGACTCACACAGGGCTCCACCCCTAGCCAGGCTAGATTGCAGCACTAGCCTCATTGGTTGGAAGTTCAAGCCCTTGGACTGAAACAGAGAGGGAGGCGATTCTGCCAGCAGTGGATTCTAAACACAACACAAGGAGAGGGGCCAGCAAGAGAGCTTAGTGCTCACCAGCTGCAGTGGGAACAGGGGTGCAGGTGGGAGATGGGACTGAGCCCAGGAAAGGCAGACTCCGTCTTTACCTTAAGGGCCAGCTGGTTCCTGGTGCGAGCGGCCTTGTGGAGGGCTGTCATGCCGTCTTTGGCACGGAAGTCCAGATGCGCACCGCCGTTTCTGAGGGCTTTGATGGCCTCCTCGGAATCGCCCAGCTGGGCGGCTAGGGTCAGCGGCGTCTCTGGAAGACACAAGCACACACGCTCTAGAACCGACCGCTGGCCGACCGCAGCGCGCCCCTCCAGCCAGGAGTTGGAAGAGCAGGCAGAAACTCCGAACCAGGACAAAGACCGGCTTACTAGCCCCATAGAGACTGGTGGGACCCAGAACCTGGGGCCCTAGCACCCCCATCCAGTTGGTAACTGGACTCACCCTGCAGCCCAAAAGTACACAGGCCTGTGAGGAGAGCAATAACCCCAGGGAGACACAGGCTCCTTAGCACCATCAACCCGAGGAGCTCAAAGGGCCACAGCTGCTCAGAGATGACGCTCGGGAGGCAGCAAGAGTCAGGAGAGGAGGAGGCCTGGGAACAAGAACCCTGGGGAGGTGATGGGAAGAGGAGGGTGCATGGCAGGGGCTTGCAATCAATAGCACGAAACGGTGTGTGTGCGTGGTGGGATGCAGAACCAATGTGTTCTATAGACTCTCTCCCAAATCACAATAAAAAGTTCAAAGAAAAAGAAGAACTGGGAATCCAGAGTCGATGCTCACACCCACTAGCCAACCCGGCCAATGTCCCTTGCAGGGGGTTGGATTGAGTTGGTTTGTTGCAGGGTCACTGGGAATTGGAATAGGCTCGAAGGAGGGGGGTGGGGTTGGGTTGGGTTGGGTTGGGTTAGGGTTACTGCAACACCGAGGATAATGACACAGGTCATGTG